ATCAAATCCCCCTCATTCTTCTCTTCTGCAGACTAAACAATCCCAGTTCCCTCAGCCTCTCCTCATAAGTCATGTGCTCCAGCCCCCTAATCATTTTTGTTGCCCTCCGCTGGACTCTTTCCAATTTTTCCACATCTTTCTTGTAATGTAGGGCCCAAAACTGGACACAGTACTCCAGATGAGGCCTCACCAGTGCCGAATAGAGGGGAACAATCACGTCCCTCGATCTGCTGGCAGTGCCCCTACTTATACAGCCCAAAATGCTGTTAGCCTTCTTGGCAACAAGGGCACACTGTCGACTCATATCCAGCTTCTCATCCACTGTAACCCCTAGGTCCTTTTCTGCAGAACTGCTTCCTAGCCATTCGGTCCCTAGTCTCTAACAGTGAATGGGATTCTTCCGTCGTAAGTGCAGGACTCTCCACTTGTCCTTGTTGAACTTCATCAGGTTTTTTTTGGCCCAATCCTCTAATTTGTCTAGGTCCCTCTGTATCCTATCCCTACCCTCCAGCGTATCTACCACTCCTCCCAGTTTAGTGTCATCTGCAAACTTGCTGAGAGTGCAGTCCACGCCATCCTCCAGATCATTAATGAAGATATTGAACAAAACCGGCCCCAGGACCGACCCCTGGGGCACTCCACTTGAAACCGGCTGCCAACTAGATATGGAGCCATTGATCACTACCTGTTGAGCCCGACGATCTAGCCAGCTTTCTATCCACCTTCTAGTCCATTCATCCAGCCCATACTTCTTTAACTTGCTGGCAAGAATACTGTGGGAGACCATATCAAAAGCTTTGCTAAAGTCAAGGAATAACACATCCACTGCTTTCCCCTCATCCACAGAGCCAGTTATCTCCTCATAGAAGGCAATTAGGTTAGTCAAGCATGACTTGCCCTTGGTGAATCCATGCTGACTGTTCCTGATCACTTTGCTCTCCTCTAAGTGCCTCAGAATTGATTCCTTCTGGACCTGTTCCACAATTTTTCCAGGGACTGAGGTGAGGCTGACTGGCCTGTAGTTCCCCGGATCCTCTTTCTTCCCTTTTTTAAAGATGGGCACTACATTAGCCTTTTTCCAGTCATCCAGGACCTCCCCCGATCGCCATGAGTTTTCAAAGATAATGGCCAATGGCTCTGCAATCACATCCACCAACTCCTTTAGCACCCTCGGATGCAGCGCATCCGGCCCCATGGACTTGTGCTCGTCCAGGTTTTCTAAATAGTCCCGAACCACTTCTTTCTCCACGGAGGGCTGGTCACCTTCTCCCCATGCTGTGCTGCCCAGTGCAGCAGTCTGGGAGCTGACCTTGTTCGTGAAGACAGAGGCAAAAAATGCATTGAGTACATTAGCTTTTTCCACATCCTCGGGCACTAGGTTGCCTCCCTCATTCAGTAAGGGGTCCACACTTTCCTTGGACTTTCTTCTTGTTGCTAACATACCTGGAGAAACCCTTCTTGTTACTCTTAACATCTCCTGTTAGCTGCAACTCCAAGTGCGATTTGTCCTTCCTGATTTCACTCCTGCATGCCTGAGCAATATTTTTATACTCCCTGGTCATTTGTCCAATCTTCCACTTCTTGTAAGCTTCTTTTTTGCGTTTAAGGTCAGCAAGGATTTCACTGTTAAGCCAAGCTGGTCGCCTGCCATATTTACTGTTCTTTCTTTTTCCAGGGGCACTGTGGGGCAGGGAGCAGGGCGGGAGGCTCAGCAGGGGGCACTGGCCCCACGGCATTACTGGGGGGCCCGTGGGCTCAGCTCTCTCCTCTCACTCCTAGCAGGTGCACATGGTGGAGGAGAGCGAGTCCCTGCCGGGCCCGTCCCACCGGTGCCTTGTGGTGCAGGGGCCGCAGGAGGCTCGGGGGCGGCTGGACCAGCGGCTGGCCGAGGTGGAGGCTCAGCAGAAGACCTTGCAGAACATCGTGACGGTGCTGAGCCGGGAGATGGGCCGGCGCGAGGGGGCCAGAGGCTCGGCCAACAGGGGCTCGCCCAACGTCCTGGGGGAAGCCATGGCCCGCATCCTGTACCTGGAGGAGAAGGTCAGCGCTTGCCCCCCACCCATGAGCATCCCAGCCACCGACTTGACCCCAGACCTCAACTCCCGCCAACTTCTCCGTCCCCTTCCTTCCAGGTGGCCAAGCAGGACACGCTCCTGGCCCTCAAGGATGTGATGATCAGCAACCTAGGGGCCCGGGTCGAGGCCCTCGAGCACACCTCCTACAACGGGCAATTTCTCTGGAGGCTCCCTGACGTGAGGCGAAAGATGCAGCAAGCCCTGTCCAAACAGACACCTGCCGTCTACTCTGCCCGTGAGTGCCATTGCCGGGGAGCAGAAGGAAATCCCCCAGCATGCACCACACCTTGGCCACAGCAATATCATGTGGCAGAGAGTTCCCCAGCCCAACAGCATGTGTGGGTCAGTGCAAGAGATAGTAAATCCCCCATAATGCACTTCAACAGGGATGCATCACCCTGGAGGATATCCTGGCTGTGCTAATATCCAGCAGCAGGGAGTTCCACAGGTTAACGCCAGCCTACAGCAAGGAAAACAGCGGCGGATGTTCAGAAATCCTCCACAATGCTCTCCACAGAGGCAACATGCCTTCTGGGAATATTTTAGATACATAAAGATCCAATAGCAGACAGTCCTGCAGGCAAAACACCAAGACCAGATGGCGATGTTGAGGTCTGTGACCCTATAATGCCCCTCACCAGACAGCAAAACCCCACAACTGGAATGTCCTCAGCACAATGATTTCCTGTTGTGGGGAGTTCCAGAGATTAACAGTGGGCAGAGTATAGCCTAAATCCCACATAATGCACTACAACGGGCATTATCCCCCAGAACACTTTGGACATGGTGAAATATAGTCGCAGGTAGTTCCACAGGTGAACACTATTCAAAGTCATTAGCTCTACAGCAGACAACCAGGCAACAGTGGTAGGAAGTAATAAATCCCCTCTGATGTGTCAGTCTGCCTGTAACAGCCCTCCGCACAACAATGTCATGGGGCCTGGAGTCCCACAGCTTAACAGTGTCCCCAGGTCAGTGCAATTAGTGGAACATGGGGGAGGGAAGCAGAAATTCCCCGACCATGCAATCGTCTCCTGTGAAATAGGTTGGTGGGGTAATATCATGGGGCAGGAGTTCCACAGGCACACGCGTTTGTCAGTGGGAGAGGCAGATATCAGTCATCGCTCTCTCTCTCTCTCTGCCTCCATCAGCCTTTTACACCGCCCGCTACGGCTACAAACTCTGCCTCAAGATTTACCTCAACGGGGACGGCACCGGGGCCGGGACGCACATCTCTCTCTTCTTGGTGCTGATGAGGGGCGAATACGATTTCTGGCTCAACTGGCCTTTCCATCTCAAGGTGAGGGGGGCATGGGACACAGGGCCTTTCCCCTCTAGGGGGTGCTGGCTCCCATCCAGCCCCAGGGCACGCGCCTGGCTGGACCTCTAACGACCTTTAATCTTTCAATCTGCTCCCCAGGTCACCTTCACGCTCCTGGATCAAGTCGGCGAGCGTCACTTCTCGCACTCTTTCCGGCCGTCGCCAGCCTCCTCTTCCTTCCAGCGGCCCGTGAGCAAGTGCAACATAGCCAGCGGCATCCCCGAATTCTTCCCCCTGTGCCAGCTCCACGCCCCGGGAGCCACCTACATCCACGAGGACACTTTAGCCTTCGAGGCCGTGATCGGCGACACCAACCTCTAGGGTGTGGCAGTTCGCCCTGCGGCCCACGGGACTGGGGCTTGGGCCTCGCTCGGGCCTAGAGACATAGCCGACAGCTTGGACTCCCAGGTTGGCGTCTTTCAAGATGGCCGCCCGCACTGCCTCTCCCCCGCCAAGCTTTCGCCCAAGGTGGCTGCCCACAACACATCTCCCCCACAAGCCTTCGCCCAAGATGGCCACCCACAGCAGCCATCCACAACACATCTCCCCCCACCAAGCCTTCACCCAAGATGGCCACCCACAGCAGCCGTCCACCACGCATCTCCCCCCAACCAAGCCTTCGCCCAAGATGGCTGCCAACACCTCGCTTCCCCTCCGATGGCTTCATCGAAGAAGCTGGCCATGAAAAATGGAGGTTGACCCTTCTTGGTAACCACCATGGAAGAGGTTTTCGAACAAGATGACCCTTAAGTCTCTTCCAAGATGGCCACCCATGAATATGTTCTACTTCCTTTGAAAGCTTGGTCCGAGACGGTGGCCACAAATAATGGAGGGTGAGCCCTTGGGGCAGCCATCTTGGAAGAGACGAAGGTGGAGGGAGACCTTTAAGCGTCGTCCAAGATGACTGACCATGGGGACTGTTGTGGCAGCCATCTTGGCAGCTGTTCTAACAGTGGAAGAGCCCCATAAATACAAAGCCCCCCCAGTATGGAGCTCGCCGTCAGTGCTTGCAAGTACCTCCAGCGGGGAGACAATTCCCCCCACACCTCAGAGACCAGCTGCACTGCCATTCCTGGGGGGCTTGTTCCCCAGCTCTTATTTTCGTAGACCCTACACAAAGTCATACTGAACGCGACCTCAGGAGCAACATGCCAAGGAGCTCTGGGCTTTTCAGGAGTCCGATGATCCCGCTGGGACGGGGAACAGGATGGCCACAAACGAGGTATTTTTGTATTCAATACCCCAGAGCAGATTGGAATATTTAAGAGGGAAAATATTTGTAACTAAATTAAACTCTTATTTATTTAGTTGACATTAAATCTATTTATGGATCGCAGCAGCTACTCTCCAGGGTTGGCATTTTGCGCCGCTCCCCTTCCCCCCCCCCCCCACCCAAAAATAAACTTAAAGTGGGTCCAGTGGAGAGAATTGAAATTGAAGTGTGATGTTTCCCCTCTAGGGGATGCTGGCTGCTGGGGGGGAGGGGGGACTGGCTGGCTCAGGGGGTAGGCACTGGGGTATGGGTGCCCCCCTAATTGAGACATAACTCAGAGGGAGCTAAATTGGTTCAAATCTTTATTGTGTCAAGGATCTCAGAGGCAGTGAGAAGCTAAACCCCCCCTCCCTCTGGATCAACACCCTGGCTCTGCCCTAGGGGGCACTCCTACTCCACATCACAGGGGGCTCCTAGAAGCCCCCCTAACTACTCTAATACACACACAAGGCACCCCTGTCTTTGGGGGGGCAGTCACCCTTACATAGCTAAAGGTCTGGGATCCCCAGCTGCCCCACAGCAGACCTATCCAGCCTGGTATCCCAATGCTACCACCAACGATCAGCCCCAAGGACCCACAGTTGTTAAAGCTAACAGGGGAAGGGGTCGTGCTATTGGGGTGTGGCAGTGGGGAGCGAGTTGTGTTTCAAGGGGGTGAGAGGAGTTACCCCCAAAACACCAGCACCATAGATTAGTGGATGAATGGCGGGGGGGGGGGCAGCAGGGGGGCTGGAAGATCCTAACCACAGTGAAATGTCCCCCCCTAATTCAGGGATCTCAGGTATCAGGGTCCTCCAATGCCCTGGCTTCAATATTGGGGTCCCCATTGCATGGTATAACATGCCGGTGTCCCCCAAACCTCCCCCCCCACGGTGACATAAATCAGGGTCCCCAAACCCTCCACTATCCCAGCAGGACATAGCTGGGTTCCCCAAACCCCCCTATGGGGATGGGCTCTAAGACCTCCCTCCCCAGGCCACCCACTAAGTATAAATGGGTCGCACCCGCTGTTGCCCCTCCCGGAGAAGGAACCAAGGGACCCCCAACAATTTGGGGGGCCCCACCCAATGGGCCTTCCACCCTCTTCTGCTAATGGGGTACCCAGACCCCCTGCTCTCCACCTCCCACGAAGGCAGGACCCCATTATTTTCAGGGTCCACAACACGTGATGTGGGAGGTTCCAAATATGCCCCCAGGCTGGGTCTCAGGGGAGGCTTCTGGGGGATCGGAGGACCCCACTTTCCAGGCAGGTTGGGGGGCAATAGGGGGAAGGGTGATTGCCACTTCCCAAATGGGGGGCAGCAAGTTGAGGGGTGCCCTGAGGTTTGGGGGTGCAGGGCATAGGCTGGGTAAGACATGGGGTGCACAGGGAGGATGGGGGGGTCAGGGGCTCCCCCACGTAGCTGGGGGGGGAGCTGGAGGCACTAGCGGTCGAGCTTCTTGTTGATGAGAAGGGAGCAGGAGCTGAGGGCCCCCCCCAGCTTGGCCACCTCGCTGCAGGCGGCGGGGATCAGGGTGAGGTCGGACAGCTTCTGGAACGGCTGCGGGGAGACACATGGGTCAGCACGGGGGAGCAAGGCATTGTGGGTAAGGAGGAGCCATTTCCATGCCACTCCCTTTGCATTGACAGCCCCACCCACTCCTAGCCCCGCCCTCCTACCGCAAACCC